AGTACCACAAGAGAGGGTTTTAGGCGTGAGACACCACCCTAGAGGGTTTTAGGCCTGAGATACCACAAGAAAGCGTTTTAGGTTGGGCATCTTCATCATGCCATGCTCAGCACCAACTATATGCGAAATAGATAGTCTTGACTTATGCCGCACAAAAAACTACACTGCCTAATGGATGGTCCTGGCCTATCCACTGGGCTTCCTTTCACCATTGGAAATGGCTGAGCCCTCAACATTCTACAGAATCTCCATCAAAGACTTCTTAAAGCACAAGTACATCCAGCTATCGGCCGCGGGCGCCTGTCAGAATCCGGAAAGCGACGCAGGCCACCGATTTTTTTTATCGACGGTGCACCTGCGCCGTCTTTTTTAGATGGCATCTCGTAGGCAACAAGTTTCTTTTCAGCAAGGCTGGGGCCGTGTACTAGCAGTTGAAGCCGTTCCCAGTCACCCACACACGGTCCATACTGTCAATTATTACCGCTTCACATAAAGTCTATTCATACCACCACCCTTAGCAGCCAGCAAAGCCCAGAGGCCCGTCATAATACATCCCACAATCTACATATCATAAAGCCAGCATAGACGCACGACATGGCCACAGTAATGGCCCTAAGTAACAGCCGGCATGCCCACAGAAAAGGTACGGAGCAACAGCCCTCACGACCTCCCAAAACAGAGAACAGTTACCTGGAAGCTCGCAAAGCAGTGCATATTAGTATGTATTATTGATATCGATTAGTGAAACGTCCTTCTTTACATATGTTAAACCACCAGTACTTCCAAGGCATTTTTCTCCAACCCTTGAAATGCCCTGTGCGCCAAGCAAAAAGGAGCCAGTGCGACATCCTTTTGGCTGGCACTGCCAGCCATTTTGCTTCGGAGGCCAAGCCCCGAAAGTTGCCGCTCGTGCACAAAAACGCCCCGCGGCCGATGTATCGGCCAAGCACTGGTGGTTTAAAAATGGAATGATGGAGACAAAGAGAAGATTAGCAGCTGGTCGTAACCCATAGAAAGCAATGGAGTGGAAAAACTCCGAAAAAGGAGGAAAGAAAATAGAAATTCCTAAGGGAACTCCTAGGGAACGGGAGACTGGGCACCATAGAGAGGGGTGCACCCAAGCTCATTTGGACAGTCAGGTGGGGTCTTCAATGAGGTGACCATCCAGCAGTGGACACTTCACAGGGGACCACTCGTTCCCAGGGCTTGGGCATTGGCCTGGCCCTGCCCTGACAACGGGCCCCGGACGGCCACTCCAGGGTTTAGGGTTCATGGCTCATGGGTATGTGTGTTCTAAGGACAAAAGAGAGGGCTTTAGGGTCAGCCAGCACGAGAAGGCTCGGCAACTGGCCTGGCCCTGGCCTGAGAACACAGCCCGGACAGGCAGTCCAAGTTGGGGTGCGTGGTTCATGGCCTGAGGGCAACAGACAGGAGTTTATGGCCAGCAAGTGACAGAAGGCCCCAACATCCCAAGAAGGCCTCCGGAGAGGGGAGGGGGGGGGTACAGCAAAAAAGGAGGTAGTAGTAGCACGGTAACTGAGGCAGGGGTGAGGAAGTATTCAATGCGCCCCGCTTGGGTACCTCTGCCATAAGGGGGAGACGAGTAGAGTGTGTTACATGTATTTTAACTTGCCGGTGGAAAAGGGACCGAACTGACGCTCCCCAGAATGGACAAAAAAAAAAAAAAAAAAAAAAAAAAAAAAAAAAAAAAAAAAAAAAAAAAAAAAAAAAAAAAAAAAAAAAAAAAAAAAAAAAGAGTAAAGAAAATAGAAAAAGAGAAGAACATGAGAGCTGGTTTGGGGAAAAACTAAACCACCTTAGAAAAAGGGTGACAGTAAATTCAGTAAAATAAAAAACAGCATTAAAATAAAAAAAAAAGCTTACGAATATAATCACCTTGGAAGTACCTACAAGTGGGATCCCACAGGTTTTAGCAAAGCTTGCTGGTGGAAGACAAACGTGAAAAAGAAAGCCGCCGGCGACCCGAAGTTGCAGAACAGTGCCCTACCTGCCAAGTGCCCAAGTGGCCAAGTAGAGCTCTATGCACCGAAGCACAGACTCTGAACACTCACCTGATGGGGATAAATGGATAAAAAACACCTACCGAGTTACATTTGAAGGAATTCTCAGTAAAATGGACTATTTTCCTGATCACCCTATTCTGGGCCATTACGGACACCAGTGTAGGAAAGCCTCCAAGGCTCCACCTCCACTCCTATGTCCCTACTGCAGTCCGGTGCACCGGAAAAGGTATGGATGTAAGTGCTCTCTGCAATGCTTGCAAGTCGCAACCATCCCTCCCCTCAAGACTAACCACTTGTGGGAATGCTAGATTGCTAGAGGGAGGGACCGATTCTCAGATGTAACAAGTGTATACCCACAGCAATCCAGTGGGTTGATGCAGACCATATCCATACGTGGGTCGACACACCCAGGAAGAGAACGGTTTGGAACAGCGATGCTATTCTTACCAGCTGGTTTGGTGGCAACCAAGAAAGAGAATTGCAGCTGTCTTTAGGTCCAGAGGCTTCTGGGTATTATGGCTGGCTAGGAGGGACACAACATCTGGAAAACAAACAAAGTCGGTTCTGTAGCTTCCTTGTTTTGCCAAATCCAAGCGGCGATTCGCAGGGAATGTTTTGCAGACTGGTGCAAAAAAACTACTAAGGGTTACGGTTACTCGCAGTTATAACGTCAGTACACGGCCCCAGCCTTGCAACATGGCTTCAGGGCTCACTCCTAAAATTTCGGAGGCTCAGGGCTACCAGACCACAATGGCTGGTGGCGCCAGCCAAAAGGAGTGCAGGTTTCCAGCAGAGGCGAAGCTGGGTTGGCCCCAGTATTTTTCATGTGTCAAATGGGACTGCTGAACCTATTTTTCCGCATGTGAAGCCAATGGAAAGGATTCCTCGACTCTAAGGCCTCAAACCTTGATTGTGATCTTATCATCATCATCCAGATTTTACGTTTGCTCTAAGGTGCTTTGTCTAGAAATCAAAGCAAGACCGCCGTTCGCAAAAAAAAAAAAATAGCGATTATGGTGTTCAAATCCCTGGCTAAATACGTTACCATTGGAACTATACAGAGAAGAGTAGCATGGCCCCTGCACAAGGATGACACGCGTAACTCGAGTAACTGTCTACCCTGAAAAAAAAAAAAAAAAAAAAAAAAAAAATCAAACTCGGGTTCAAGCACTCCCCCCTAGCAGATAAGTCTTACAAGCCAACAATCACCATGCTATCAATTCCTCTTCCCTCCGGATTACCAAACTACCCCTTGAGAATAACTAGATCTGCACTGAGCATGAGTTGCACGGACACGCGCACAATTCATTACATGTGTCGCACTTAATTAATTTCATTAATTCCGTTTGTCTTTTTTTTTTTTAATTCCGTTTGTCAACAACAATGACAGTAACAATAACGACAGTCCGTTTCAGAAACCAAGATCTCAAACAGGAAGGCGAAGTACGTCTCCAAGTTTACCATATCTATTTTGTTTGTTTCCATTCCTGACATGGCCCCGTCTACGTCGGAGGCTACCACAACTTCTGACAATGACACCCGCCGAAGGCTGAGAAACAACTGACTCCAAGTTTACCATTTCTATTTTTTGTTCTTTACATTTCTGACATGGCCGTGTCTACGTCTGAGACTACCACCGGCTCTGAAATGACACCCGCCGAAGGCTGTGAACCAACCATCTCGATTTAGAAATAAGGCCTTCCTCCTCTACCCTCACATCCCATCCTGTGAAATAGCCTGCTTCATGGAGTAATTAATTTGACGTCAGCACGAACCATGGGGAGGGTGGTAAGTTGTCAAGACATCTGAAAGTATAATACCGCCATCTTTGTCTTCACCCAAATAGAACGCCCAGTCAATATCGCCGTATCTGGACTGAAAGGTACCCCTTAAGCATCTCACTCCTAAAAAGAGACATCAGATAAAGTGTGCAGGAAATCAACCCTGGCCACCAACGCACATATCAACCTAGTTCACTCTACACCTCATCCATACATATATCGCAATCCAATATACTATTTTCGACACCGTGACTACACAAGAATTGTATAACTGATTTTTGTTTATATATCGTCAAACAGAGCTGCCCAGTAAACCGAAAACAGAGAGGGAGAAGAGGACAACAAACGAGGCGAGAATTCCATAAATGATTTTTGTCTATATATCGTCAAACAGAGCTGCCCAGCAAACCGAAAACAGAGAGGGAGAAGAGGACAACAAACGAGGGGCTGTGACACAAACTGTTTCGTCGGAGTTTCGCTGACTCAACAGGAGGCTGAACCCTATATATAAATATATATAGATCATTCTAGAGAAATGCCCGGTGGTTCCTAGGCAGAGAGAGAGGAGTACAACGAACAAATATATATGGGGTTCAGCCTCCTGATGAGTCGGTGAAACTCCGACAAAAAAGTTTGTCACAGCCCCTTGTTTGTCGTCCTTTTCTCCTTCTCTGCCGATGGTTTACCGGGCAGTTCTGCTTGATGATATATACCACGACTTCGATATCCCCCTGCTTCGGTTTTCTCCGGTCAGGTTTGATGATATATACCACGACTTCGATATCACCCTGCTTCGGTTTTCTCCGGTCAGGTTGGGCATCTGTGGTCGGCGCAGTCACTACGCGGCCATGCTGTGCCTCTAGTGCCAGCGGGGTCGACTGGAGTATTTTTTGCCTGTGATAGACCTTTCTTTGTTTCGTTGGTGTTTTGCTGGCTTGTGATGGGGGTGTGAACCGACAGTCTGTAGAGTTTCCCATCAGACTGGTGTGCGTGAGTGATAGTCTGCTTTGATTTTCGTCACAGGTACCTTGAGGGCAGTGGTTGGTGGTCCCCACCACCTCAGAGGAGTATCAGTTGTCGGGCAGTCATTGATGCTTACCCACAACCGATGTTAAGGTGGATTATCACTTACATGTAATCAGTTAGGGGATTCTGCAGACTGTTAAGGGTTCAGCCTCCTGATGAGTCGGTGAAACTCCAATGAAACAGTTTGTTCACAACCCCTCGTTTGTTGTCCTCTTCTCCCTCTCTGCCTACGGTTTACAGGGCATCTCTGTTTGACGACCTTCTCTCCACTTCCCCCTTCTCCTCCTCCTCCTTCCCCTTCCCCTTCCCCTCCCTCTCCCCCTCCCTCTCCTTCCCCTTCCTCTTTGTCAGCATCTTCTTCTTTGTCATCTCCCACTTCTTCTTCTTCCCCTTCTTCTACTTCTTTTCTACTTCTTCTCTTCGTCTTCTTCTTCTTCCTCCTTTTCTTCGTCTTCTTCTTCCCCTTCTTCAAACTCTTCTTCTGCCTCCTCTAGTTTGTCTTCTTCTTCCCCTCCTCCCCCCACTTCTTCCTCTTCCCCTTCTTCTTCTCCTTCTACTTCTTTTCTTCGTCTTCTTCTTCTTCCTCCTTCTCTTCGTCTTCTTCTTCCCTTTCTTCAAACTCTTCTTCTGCCTCCTCTAGTTTGTCTTCCTCTTCCCCTCCTCCCACTTCTTCTACTTCCCCTTCTTCTTCTTCTTCTTCTTCTTCTTCTTCTTCTTGTTCATCATCCTTTTCGTCTTCTTCTTCTTCTTCTTCTTCTTCTTCTTCTTCTCCCTCCTCTAGTTTGTCTTCTTCTTCCCCTTCTTCATTTTCATTGTTGCCTTGCCGACACCCTGCACTCCGGCCGAGATGGCCCCTCCTTGTATCTTCGTTGTCCATATCGGGACGTATATATATATTTTATATATGTACTTTACAATATATCACCAAATATGTGTGTATAGCGCAGGCAAAACTTGGTCTGGTGCACCGGCTATACATTGCGGGTCCTTCAGGACATCTGTTAAAATTGGAACGCCACAGAGACGCTTCGCACGGCCCCTGAACAAGGATGACACGCATAAACCATGGGGAAAAAAATACAAAAAAAAAAAAAAACTCGCCCCTGCCCAAGGGTAACACGCATAAACCATAGGCAAAAAAGGAAAAAAGAAAGCAATACATCGGAGCCAATGCGCCTACGATTATTGCTGTTGTGCTTTAAAATAGCTGACAGATCTTGTTCTGTAAAATATTCAAAACAGTTCTTGTCAGAGGCCAGTTCACAGTGTACTACAACCTTCAGCTACCACCTCTGTCAGGGTGTCTAAGGGCATACTGACATTCGGACTTTTTTCGACTCAGCTCTGGACGTGATTGCAGCCACGTGCATCCACGTCCGGCCGCAGTCAAATACATTTAAAACAGTGGTACCGGTAGTGTGAGTAAGCCATAAGCCTACTGTTTTTCCCCAAACACAACGGATCCCCATGTGTAGACAAGCCATCTTTTGGGTCCAATATAGTCACGATGAGGATGCGTTCTGTTCGGGAAAAGATGGTAGGACAGAGTAACGGCCAATGGGCCTGGCTCCACTGCACAACTTCCTAAACGTATCCGGGCCTCGTGTTAGTCCTGATACGTTCAAAATGTTTGCTTAGTCCAAATGCGTATGCACTAACGCGCAGCCCACGTACACGTCGAGTGTTCAGCACAACCAGAGCGAGGCCCCAATCCGTTGAGGAAGATCACTTCACTCTCCACCCTCATTTCATCTTGAGTCCTCCCTGTCTACCACCAGGGTATCTCATCGCCCACCCTATCTACGTCAATGATGGACGTCAACGATAATACATAAGCCTGGTCAGACCATCGTTCAAAATGAGAGGCCTACAAAAAAAAAAAAAAGAGGCGGCACCCATACCTCGACAATAACGAGCGCCGTACGAACCAACTGTTGAAACACAGACCGGAATCCGGGTCCCGACGCAACGAGATGAAGAACACTCAAAAACTTCTGGATTACCTGGGGATGGTCAGTCGGATATCTCAAGGTCGAACCAATAGACCAATGAGCCTAGCTGAACTGGTAGACACCCATGAACTATTTTGAAAAATGCAGAGCCGAGTTCGAGTTCAGCAGATGAGAGAACCGGAATGAATGAAATAAAATACTTATGAATAACCTGGGGACGGTCAGATCGATGATGAAATCCAAAAGGCCGTTGCCCTTTTCTTAAAGAAGAAAAGAGAAGAAAAGAAAGGAAGGAGGGAACGAAGAAAGGGAAAAAAAACACACAAGAAAAGAACAGAGAGATATAGACGGCATACGAAATGCTCCCGGCCAGTTCTCCACCCCCTGCTCTGTCAATAATAAAAAGCCCCCCGCCCCTCCCCCCCCCTCCCCCAACCACGAATCTGAGACCAGGGTCGAGGAGGGAATATAAGCGGTGCATTAATCCAACAAATAGCTGAGAGCCAGCCGAGCAGAGAAAGAATGTACTTTTTTCTTTAACGGGTAAGGGAGGCAGAGGGGGGCCGGGAACGAACATAACCACAGAGAGAGAGAGATTATCTTCCTGGCATTGTAGGAATCTACCTCTCAGCCTGTAGAACGGCGACCGGCAGATTGATAATTTGTTCCAACTGCATATGGTTCAGAAACGAGGTAGGTACAGATTCAGGTACTTTATGCCTTCACTTCTTTTCTTTTCCACTTTTTTTCATGCATTCATACTTGCCAAGCTTCAGGACCCATGATGGGAATTTTCGTTGTTTGGGTGGCTTGTGTGGCTTTCAAGCGGTAAGGGTTGCTTTTATTCCCAGAGTTGTGGAAAGTCCGGGCAGCGGTCTTGTTGTGGCCATTTTTTTTCTGCCGCTGGACTCAATCCCAAAGCCTCCTGCACCTAAGTTGAGTAGTAATGGTCCCAGTATTTTATTCCGGGTTGTTTGTGGAGGATTTTTCGGCCTCCCCTTCCTTTAGGTGATGAAATGAGCTCAGTTTCCATTGAAAAAAAAGGGGGGGGGGAGGGAAGACGTTTTCAGCGACAACTCTTTCTTCGCAAGTCGAGGAAAAACAAAAAAGAAGAAAAATAGGAAAGAAATAAGAAAAATAAGAAAAGAAGAAAATAAAAAAGAAGAAGAATTGAATTGAATCGGGAATAGCCAGGCCATAGTCCATGCATTGCAAAGTTGACAAAAAAAGACAAAAAACGACGACAAAAAACGACAAAAAAAAAGGACAAAAGAAGGACAGAAAGACCAAAAAAGGACCCAAAAAAGAACCTGTACGTGATTGGAGCTCGCTCCACTGCACAACCTTTTAAAAATGTATCAGCAGCTGGTAGTACTCCAAATGCATTCGGAAAATGCTGTATCAGTCCAAATGTACCTCTTCGAAATGCAGTCCAGGTACATGTAGTGGAGCGAGGTCCATTGGCTCGTGAAGATTTATAGAAGCCCTAATGAACAAACGCTGCCATTGTCGCATTTTAAAAATGGAATTAATTATTTTGATAGGCTTAATACAATAATATTACTCTAATGGAACTCGACGATTTCCTAGGGCCTCGCCACAGCACACTAGAAATGTGAAAAAATAAAAAAATGCGGCGGGTGCATCTGGTCGTGTTCTGGCGGGAAGTTCATTCTCATCTGCACATTTCGAGAGCGGTGTGTCGATGGTCTTCGTAGCCAGTCGTATGTAACAATGATAAACTGCGCAGCATAACAGAAACGCCCCCGGGAATAACGAGCTAAAGTCCAGTTGGTATACCCACGCACTGTTGAAATACAGACCCGAAAAAAAAAAAGAAAAAAAAAGGAAAAAAAAAGAAAAAAGAAATACAGACCCGAGTTCGAGCCCATATGCAAGCACAAGAACAGAGAAACATACTGTAATTCTGAGTTACAGAGAAACATACTGTAATTCTGAGTTACCTGAGGCCGGTCAGTTCCATGATGATATCTCAATTCCGTCGCCCTCCTCATTGAAAAGGGAGGGAGGGAAAAAAAAAAAAAAAAAAAAGAAAGTCCGGGGAAACTTGGCCTTGCATCGCTACACCCGTCAATACGTAGGGTCAGCTGCATGATCCGGACGAATGTAGACAGTATCAGCATCCAGGTACATTCTAACAGGGCCGGAAATGGTTTCGGTCTGTAAAACACTACCGCGAACCTTCCTAATTGAACGGTTCTAATCAGATTACACGAGGATTCTAATCAGATTACCTGTAGAAAGATTCTAATCAGATTATTGAAGGATTCTGATTAGCTATCGAAAGATTCTAATCAGACTGTTGAAGGATTTTGATTAGCAATCGAAAGATTCTAATTAGACCATCGAAGGATTTTGACAAGTTA